TTTTTGAAATAAGTACTCAGTATACATCTAAGTTTCATAAATGCTCCTCATAAATCTCATAAATCTAAACTTTTGTAATCGGTTCTTTGTTGACCATTAGTTGCATAGGGCCGACGTTAACTAACCACATTACTATCCAGTGCAAGGAGAGTTATTTTGTTATTTATATCGAATAGAGAATCTTGTTAGTTTGCGGTATGGACACCAAAAAATATTTTATTCGAAAAGATTGATAAATATATGGAACTGTGGAAAAATATGCTACAAAAATTTCAAGATTTTTATTATAATTTTTATTTGAAACACCTTCTGAAGAAACATTAGACACAATTCTATATTTATATAGTTTCATTTTATCAATTTTAATTATCGTGATAATTTTTCGACTGTTCTAACAACCATTCAAATTTCGTCATTTTGTGTCATGTGGAACAATTTCACCCAATCATGTCAACATTAGACTGATAATTGCATTCAGTGCAATTTTCAATCCCTATGACAACACGATCGAGTTTGACAACTTCATCCAAATAAATTTCAAAATGTCACGTTTCTAAAAAATTGCTAAAAATGACTGGTCATGGCAATCAGAATTCTATAAAACCATACTTGAATCTCGATCAAGAACACCACAACAAGATTATAAATATTATGCGTGGTAATAGATCTTCTATAGTAGAGAACAGCAACGAATCTAATGTTAACTTAAATTTTAATAATTGTACTTTCACTAACTGTACTTTTAATAAATAAATGTTTCGTTATGTTGAGTTATGATTTTTTTTTTCGAAAAATTATCCGCCGAATATCCCTCGGACATTGATGAATGCCTCATAACTTCATGACAAATTTCTCAAGCTCGTTGCTTGGTAACAGCACTCAGCCTTCGGCTTCGTGCTGTTACCGATATTATTATAATTTTGATTGACCTTTTCCTTTATTTTTTGTTTCATGTAGAGCACAAATGTCTATTTCTTTCTCTTTCAGCGTTTGGATTATTTCTTGTTCCTTGAGTTGAGTGATATGATATTCCAAGTAGTAATTCTCATCTGGGTTTTGGATATTTTTCGCTTGTCCTTACTTCTTGCCGTAGTCGTCTTCATAGTATCAATCCGGATCCGAGGCTTGTTTCTTTAAGCAGTATTTAAAATTTAAAATATTTGGTTATTACTCTGAGCTGATGTAAAGAAGAAAAGAAAATAATAATTCTGATTGAAATACAAAAAAATGTACTTGCTGAATGACCAAAACTCTACGCTGTTTCTATGTAATAAATTATTATTATATAAGCAAATACTGAAACAATAGTATTATTATAAAAACAGTATACATAATTAGAATTAACAGAAAATATTTCTATTCGTATAAAAATTTAATCAAATTATAGGTACACACTGCTTATTTATATAAAATTTCCTATTTTAAATACAGTAAACACACTGGTTTGTCAAAAGTCGGAATAAGCCCTAATAATGTTATTCAACATTATTTTTCCTTTTCCGAGGGTCTTACCTATCTGCTGGCGAGAATCCAGAAGCTACCGACAAGGACAGCTTGTGCTGACGGATAGAGAATTACATTTAGCAGAACTTTGAAATTTTTTAAAAGTTTATACCAAATAGCTGCTTTGTGTTACACTTTATGTTAAAAATAAAAACAGATTCAGAAAGTGGGTAAAATTCTCTAGTGCCCTATTTCAAAAAAAAAATTTACGTTTATTTTAACCAAAAATATTTGAAAAAAAAAATTGTTTAAACAATTTATTAATTTACAACCAAATAGTGCACTAGAACTTTTTAAGACCTTTCATATAAAAAAAGAATCATCTCAATATCTGCCATAGTTTTTGCGTTATTTGATATAAACTTTTACATTGGAATTTAGCTATGCCCAGAATCGCGAGGATCGGCCTTATGACACACTTATAATGAAATTTATGACACAAATATTTTGTGGCAAGAAGTACAGTCTGTCACATAAGATTTAAGCCAATATTTATTCTGAAAACGAAAAATAAATTAATTTTAATATAACTTGTTGATTTTATAACATACTCGCCCCCGTTGAAGCGCTGGCTTTAACACAAATATACAGATCATATTATGATAAGAGAGCATGAGCAAGAGAAAATACACTACAATGTTTATCTTATAATAACTTAATTTAAATCATGGACAATTTGGTAATAGAGCGCTTGAAGACTCCATCTTTAGTTTTGACCAAGAAAATTCTTACTCTCCCACCTTTTCCAGGAAAGACTAATTGTTAATACCCAATAAAGAGGAGGAGTGTGGTCTTCAATCAACAAGACGAGATCGTTGGTTTCTAGATTTTCATGCGGGAGAAACCATTTAGGGGTGTGTTCGAATAGTCGATAGACCATTTTTTCCAAAACACTTGTTAAAGTTAGAGCGCTTAAAGACTTCATCTTAATTTTGACCGAGGCAATTCTTACTCGCCCACCTTTTCCGGGAAAGACCTCAATATCTCTTGCTAATACCTAATAAAGAGGAGGAGTGTGGTCTTTAATCAACAAGACGAGATTGTTGGGTTCTAGATTTTTATGCAGGAGAAACCATTTAGGGCGATTTTGAAGTCTGTTCGAATAGTCGATAGACCATTTTTTCCAAAACACTTGTTAAAGTTTGGACAAATATTGCCATAAATTTAATCTATTTTAGGGAATGATGATTACATGTTTTTCAGAGAATGATGTGAGAGATTGTCCAATCAAGAAGTGTCCAGGAGTAAGATAAGTAAAATCAGAGGGGTGATTTGAAAGCGAGCAAAGAGATGCAAAGAGCGCAGCTTCAATTTGAACGAGAACTGTGGTGAATTATTCGAACGTAAGCTTAATATTGCCCAGGGGCTTACGCATATGATGCTTTGCGCTCTTTATAGCACTTTACCCAATACGATCAAGCTGAGGGGCTAGAGGAACTATAGTTTTCCAGCGAATATGGGACGAGACCAAAAATAATTTAATAGAACGGGAGCTTTTATTTTCCTTTAAAAACTTATAGAGTTCAAATAGTTGGTTACGAGCACCAATAAAGTTTGTAGCATTGTCACTGAATATTGTTTGAGGGAGGCCTCTACGGCTAATAAAGCGTTTTAGAGCGAGAACAAACGTCTCTGTAGAGAGGCAAAAAACGATTTCAATATGAACCGCTCGAGTCGACTAGCAAACGAACAGAACGATATACGATTTTATTAAAGGAGCCTTAAGAAGGTTGGAAGAATTTGTCTGAAAAAGACCGCCAAAATCTAATCCGACATAAACACTCGAGAGGAGTTTAAATGTTCTTTTGGTAAGACCGTTTATATAACTAATACTTACTACTCTGGATGCTGCTCTCTATAAAAATCAGGAAATAGAGAAAAAATCGGTAGTTGAGGTAGCCATTATGTATGCATTAAGTATCCACCGACAAGTCGAGAAAGTCGTCTCATGGTAACCGGTAGATAGGTAGACAAGACGAAAATAGGTAAAAGGATAATGTACGAGAATGTAACTTTTAGTCACCTATCCTTGGATGAAAAGGGCTAGAGGGATTCAAGACAAAATAAGTTAGGTTACATTTAGAGCGGCTGCTGGAGACAGAGAATCACGCCGAATCTACAAGACTTTTCATGAACATGGATGGATTCCTAGCCTCTACACCATTACAGGTTACTGGATTTATCATCCGCAATTAAAATGTTTAACGTACCAGATGCCTTCAGTAAGCCAGCATTTTTCAAGTCGGGATTTCCAGAGTCTTCATCATCCCCTGAATTAGTCCAGTCCAGTCCAGTATGCCTATTTTTATTTTAAATATAATTCGATCCAACTATGTAGACAGTTGCAGACAGTTCCAGTTTCAAACAGTTCCAGTTGCTGTTTTCTACTTACAAAAGTTCTTCATTAAAGAGAATTCATACTCAGAGCGATTTCTGAGGGTATAAAGGAACACCGATAAGATATGTCGGCCTTTTGACCGCCTCGCAACCACAGAGGCCACAAGGCAGTTAAACTGATACTTAAAGTGAAACTGAACAGAACTGACTTTGACTATACCTTTAAGGTAAATTAGCATTGCAAATTACTACTTGATGATTTGCGATTGCCTTATTAGAATCGATATTGGAAATACTTTTTAATGTTTTGTTAGAAGTGAAATAGAAACAGTACCACAGGCAGATACACTCACATATGAGCTAATAGTACTATAACTTCTATAACTCTAATTTCTAACTAAACAATATTTTATGAATGTTTTAACCACTTTTATTTCTCTCTCTCTCTCTCTCTCTCTCTCTTCAATCCTGACCCCCCAGGGGGAGTGTAGTGGTCGACGTGATGTCGTGTATTGTCCGTCTCCAGAGATCTCTGTCTCTGGTCATTTCTTTTAATTCATGCATAGGTCTTTGGCATATTCCTGTAATTTGATCTATCCATCTTGTTGGGGATCTTCCTCGTGATCTTCGGCCTTCTACCTTTCCTTGTATTATGAGTCTTTCCATGTTTTCTGTGTTTGCTCTCATAACATGCCCAAAATATTTTAATTGTTGGAGATGGACTTTACTAGAGAGTCGTTGGCTAACTTTTAGCTCTCTTAAAATTGATTATTTGTTCTACGGTCGGTCCAAGGAATTCGTAACATTCGTCTCCAACAGAACATTTCAGTGGCGTCTATCTTTCTTCTCTCCGTTTGTCTCAGAGTCCAAGATTCACATCCGTAGGTCAGTATTGGGAATATTAAGCAGTTGATCAACCTCATCTTTATCGCTCTTGAAATTTGACAGTCCTTCCATATTTTGGTCATTTTTGCTGTGGCAACTTTTGCTAGATCACATCTACGTTTAATCTCTTCTTTTAATGACCCTGTGTTTGTGATTAATGATCCCAGATATAAGTATGAGCTCACAACCTCGAACCGGTCAATTGTGGTTATGTGTGGATGATTGTTGTGTAGTCTATCCACTTTTATTTAAATTAATTCAATTTTTATTTACAGATCTGGATACAATATCACTTTACGTCTTCCACATAGTAATTATAAAGGCATGGAAAGCCATATAAAGCTGCCAAATGAACATAAAGAAACCTACAGTTTGTGGTCTAATGTAGATTATAAAACAGGATTTAAATTCGTAGAATATTTTATCAAATACAGAACCAGTCATTCACAACTGAAGTATGGATCGTCTGGACAGGTAACTTTTGGCGTTTTTTATAAGTTACAAATAATATTTTTATCAACATTATTTCCGTTATGTTTATACATAAAGAATATCCTGCGATAGACAGTTTATAAATACTATACTTTTGTAAACTCTCTGTAAATCAAGATTTGTTTGAAATTGCAAAAAGAAAGGAAGTAGACGTGCTGAAAATTATGTTCTTAATATTAATTAATGCAGTTTTTTAGAATACCTATTTGTTTTATTCTATCAAATCAGTAAAACTTTTGATTTTTCATGGTACATATTGGAAATATGGGATTGTATTTTGTATTTATTGTTGTAGATATATAAAACATGTTGGAAGTGTAGTCACGACCAATTTTTGCCAAATGGCGTTACATTGGTGACTTGACATTGTCAATCTAATGTTTTTGTATAAACTTAACAGGATTTTAATTAGTATATATAGTATAAATACCGTAAAAAGCCAAAATTATCAAACAATATCCACAAGGAAACTAAATTCTTGTAGCTGGCTGTATATCAGTTATCACAAAAAATGTATTAAAAAATTTCTTTATTAAAGGTATAATATTAAAAAACCCTATCGGTCTACATCACAAAACGTTTTTGAAATAAATATTCCATCATCAGTGCTACCCTAAAAATATAACCACTTTAATTAAATTAAATTTTAAATTCCTTGTTTTTTTTTTAATTTTCTGGACGAATTTTAGGTTTAAGAAACGCCTTACATTGTGCTCAAGCAAGTTTAATTTCAGGTAAAATTATATCGTCAACAGTGCGTTTTGAAGAGTTTGATTCATGAGCCATATTTGTTATTTTCGTTGTAATGTTTGAATATTGGGACGCTAACATTGGTTTTTTTGATAGTGGATGTATTTGTTGGGAAACTGCCTTGTTTGAAACTTGGGCAATTGACACTTCTTCTTCTGACAGTGTATGCGTTCGTTGAGAAAATGCATTATCTATACTGGATAAATATTTTTCTTTATTTGAGCGTTGATTTTCTAGGACTGTGGATTCGGAACATTGCGATGTTTTGTAGCTAGGATTCTTGTAATTATAGTATGAATACAATCTTGAGATATAAAAATCCTAAAGGACGTATTGTGAAATTCAAGTAGAAATGATTCCGGAAGTGTTAAGCTATGGAGACTGATATATATATATATATATATATATATATATATATATATATATATATATATATATTATATATATATATATATATATATATATATACGGGTAACGGGTAGGAACTCTTTAAATTCTTAAAGATAGTCCTATCAGGGAAAATGAATCAATCCCTGCCCTCCGCAGATTCCGGGGGTTTCCTGACCCGGGAAACCAGTATCTGGTTAGGGTCCCTTGTCCAGGGTTACGGATGAAGTCCACAACGGCAGACACGGCGGAGAAGCGGAGCTTCGGTACGGTGTGGATGGCGGAAATGGCAACCCTCGATTTTAGGGTTGATATAGAATCAAAACAGTAGCGTCTGATCCAGAATGGACGGCTGCGAACAGCGTCTGACCCAGAATGGGCGGCTGATATAAAACTCACCAACCCGTCTAGCCAGCGTGGTGTTTCAAGGCTAATCATCCTTCCAAATACAGAAATGGCGAATACTAAAACGAAACGGAACGGTCCCCAGGTGGGTGGAGTATGTTATGCCAAATCCCACACCCAGAAAAGGGTCTGCCTCGTGGAATATGGGGGAGGCAAGAATTCGCTTAGTACACACAGAATGCACATCGGAACATATAATATCAGAACGATGAGGACAGAAGATAACCTAGAAGAGTTGCAAGAAGAACTTAAGACCATCAAATGGGACATAGTAGGCCTATGCGAGACAAGGCTTAAAGGCGAAGAATCGACGCTACTAAAATCAGGGCACACTTTGTACCAATACAATTCAGGAAATAACCAAGGTATAGGAGGCGTAGGCTTTTTAGTACATAAGAGAATTGAAAACATGGTAACCAAATTCCAAGCAATTTCTAATAGAGTTATCTATATGGTAATAAAACTAAATCGTAGATACAGCATTCAAATAATCCACTGTTATGCACCAACTTCTTCTGCAGATGACGAAGAGGTAGAACAACTTTATGAAGACATTACAAGAGCCAGAAACCTAGAGAAAACATATTACGTAATAATTACGGGAGATTTCAACGCTAAAATAGGAAAGAACGAAAATAACAACGACAACGAATATATTGGAAATTTTGGACTGGGAAGTAGAAATCATAGGGGAGATATGCTCGTAAATTTCCTCAGCAAAGAAAAACTATTCTGCTTAAATACCTTCTACAAGAAAAAGATGCAGAGAAAATGGACGTGGTTAAGCCCAGATGGCAAAGTAAAAAATGAAATTGACTTTATACTCTCTAACTTCAAAAACATTGCTAAAGATCTTACTGTACTAAATTCTTTCAACACTGGTAGTGATCATCGATTAGTTAGGACGCGAATAGAAATAAATACGAAATTAGATAGAAGAAAATTATTAACACAGGATAAATTGCCAAACATAGAAGCACTCGAAATGAATCAAGAGGAATATCAAAGTGAACTAAAAAAGAAACTAGGGCCTCTACCAGTATTCAACACGAAAGATATAAATGAAATAACACAAAAATTAACGAACGACATAACATCAACTGCAAAAAAGATCTGTGATAAAAATAAAAATCCCAGAAAAACGAAACTGAAACAAACAACACTTAATTTAATGGAAGAAAGAAGAAGAACATCGAAAGAATTACCAGAGTATAAAGCTATCAACAATAAAGTTAAAAAGAGCATAAGGTCAGACTTGCGGGCTTATAAAACAAAACAAATATTGCAAACCATCGAAAACAATAGAAACATGAGAGTATTGAAATCAAATTTAACTAAAGGAAAATCAAATATAACTAAAATCAAAAATCAACAGGGGAATACGGTGACCGAAAAAACTCAAATAATCAAGGAAATACAAACGTTCTATAAGAATCTTTATACATCTACTATACAGAACCCCGAACCAGACCACAGAACAATTCTAAACGTCGGCTCAGAAACCCTCCCTAAAATAACCTCTTCGGAAATTAGACATGCCTTACAGCAAATGAAAAACAAAAAAGCTCCCGGCGAGGATCGTATAACGTCTGAAATGTTAAAAATGGGCGGCAACATCGTTGTAGAAGTTGTGGAAGTCTTACTGAATAAGTGTCTAACAGAAAAAAGAATACCCAGCCTATGGGAAAACGCCGAAATAATACTTTTACACAAGAAAGGAGACACTACTAATATTGAAAACTACAGACCTATTAGTTTGTTGTCACACTTATACAAATTGTTAACAAGAATAATAACCAACCGCATAACACAAAAACTTGATTTATATCAACCGGTTGAACAGGCGGGATTTAGAAAAGGGTTTGGCGCTAATGATCACTTACAAACCATCAGAACACTAGTAGAAAAAACCACAGAATATAATGTACCTTTACATATGGCATTTATCGACTTTCACAAGGCTTTCGATAGTATTGAGACTTGGTCCTTTTTGTCAGCCCTGAAGGATGCTCGAATAGACTCACGGTACACTACACTCATTAAAAACATTTATGAACAGGCCACATTCCACATCAAAATCAATGAAGACGAAAAAACTGAAAAAATGCGCCTTGATAAAGGTATTAGACAAGGTGATACTATTTCACCAAAGCTTTTTACCTTAGCATTGGAAAATGTATTCAAACAGCTTGACTGGGAGGAAAAAGGTGTAAACATTGATGGTGTACGTTTGAGTCATTTGAGGTTTGCGGATGACATAGTATTATTTAGTACAGATATCAAGGAACTGGAGCAAATGTTGAAGGAATTAAACCAGCAGTCAAATAAAATAGGTCTCAAAATGAACCTTCAGAAAACAAAAATAATGAGTAATTTACAAACTAATCTTGTTATTGACAACGTCAGTCTTGAAAATGTAGACCACTATATATATCTTGGACATACCATTAAAATCGGCAAAGAAAATCAAATAGCCGAAATAAAAAGACGCATACAACTGTCTTGGGGAGCTTTCGGCAAATTAAGCTTTATTTTGAAGAATAAAGATATACCAATGTGTCTAAAACGTAAAGTTTATGACAAATGTATCTTGCCTGTAACTACATATGGACTGGAGACCATGGCCTTCACAAAGAAAACCTTAGAGCAGCTCAGTACAACCCAAAGAGCAATGGAGAGGGCCATGCTAGGGATTAGTTTGAGAGACAGGATTCGAAATAACGTCATTCGTGAAAGAACAAAAATTACTGATGTCTCAGAACGTATTGCAAGGCTCAAGTGGCAATGGGTCGGACACGTTGCCCGAGATAATCCCGAAAAATGGACACAAAGATTAACAAACTGGAGACCAAGAGAGAACAGGCGAGGAGTAGGCAGACCGCAGAAGAGGTGGACAGACGATATCAAACAAGTCGCGGGCAAGCAGTGGATGAGAATTGCCAAAAGTAGAAATCGATGGAAGCAAATGGAAGAGGCCTATGTCCAGCAGTGGACGAACACAGGCTGAAGAAGAAGAAGATATATATCAGTCTCCATATATATATATATATATATATATATATATATATATATATATATATATATATATATATATATATATATATATTCATATACAACATGTGATCTTTTTAATAGAGGGGTTTTTGTTTTCAATCTAGTAAAATTCCTTTTCAAAAGATTGTGACCTTTATGAGCAACCGTAATATTATGTTTAGACAGAAGATTTGCTATTTGTTCTGATAATCCTTTTATATAGGGGAGAGACATATAGTTTTTCTTTACCGTGTTGGTTTTATTATTATTATTGTTATTGTAAAATTTATGCAGTCGCGATTTGAAAGTGTTGTCGATAAGGTGGTGTGGGTATGAATTAAGTGTAAGTGCTGTTTTTGCTTTTTTAATGGCCTGAGGTCTGTTGATAGGATCGGATAATCTAATAG